CTTAAAAGCCTGAATTTAGCCTGAAACTCTCAGACTGAAGAAGTCTCTTGGAGGAGCGACGAAACGTTTCATTAGAGAAGAACCCGTCCAGAAGACCTATACTATTTTTTTCTTTTTGATTGGTTTCTCAGTTCCTGAGAAGTCTGAAGTGGTCTCACCATGGCCTCTTTGGTGTGGACCTCCTGCGAGGCGGACTTGGCGACCTTCTGGATGATGGGGGCGATGTTGGTGGGACCGTAGAGCTGCAGCTTGGGCAGGCAGGCCTGATAGGCCTCCACCAGACCCTGAATCCCTGCACACACAGGAAGAGGACACACCAAACCGTCAAAGACCCGAAGACCTCGGCTTTGGTTCTGGGAGGTTTTATCAGTTCTGGAGCTTCTCTGGACTCCAGAGAAAAACACTGGATTTAAGTGAACATTAATAACTGATCCTTCAGTGGAGGAAGTTCTTCTCAGCTGATTAATTTAAGTCAAACATTTCTTTTAACTTTATAATAATAAAGATCAGAAACTTGTCATCAGCTCCAGATCCATCAGGACTTCAGACCACCGGAGGCTCTGATGAAACATCATCAAACCAATTCTCACATCAAAGCTTTCCTCCGACTTCAGAGGCTCTCAGTCACAAATTTAAATCTGTATTTTTTCTGCTCCTGTGCGACGTGGTGGAAGCACCTACCTGCACACTCTGGGTTGTCCTTGTTAAAATTCACAGCGAAGTCATGAGAGACCTGTGGAGGAGGAACAGGAAGTCTGTTTTCACCTTTGATTCAAGAGAAAAACAAAAACACAAAATCATAAAACATCATTTCTCTTCCTTTGATTCAGCAGCTGCAGGTTCACCTCCCAGCTCCCACCTGAAGGGCAGACTGTACAGTGTCTCTACAGTTAACAGGTTGAAGGTCAAAGGGTGGTCTCTCTGAGCACAGTGCATACTGGGAAAACAGCAGGTATACCTTGTAGTCCGGAGGGATCTGAGCACCAAAACCAAACGCCGGAAACATTTTGTCACTGAGGAGAGGAAGACGGAAAAAATAAGTGAAAAATGTAAAAAGTTGATTACAAAAACACAATTAAAAAACACCTCTCCTAATGAACCAAACCATGTGATTGGCTGAGTGGACCCACCTGTCCTAACGAACCAAACCATGTGATTGGCTGAGTGGACCCACCTGTCCTAACGAACCAAACCATGTGATTGGCTGAGTGGACCCACCTGTCATAGTCCTGGCAGATCTCCCCCACAGACACCAGAGCCTTCAGGTACTCGTTGGGTTGGAACGGGTGGATGTAGTGCAGGGAGCAGCTGTTTCTAGGATCACCGTTGGATGCTGTGAAGTCGATGGCAACCTGCAGAGAAAAGAATAAATCTGACTTTTCAGAATAAAAGCAGGCAGCAGATCAGTCAGCTAAACAAGAATTCAAGCAGAAAGCTCAGACCCTCGTTAGGACTAAGTAGGTCAACACATGATGTAAAAACATGTAAATTTTTCTAAATAAAACAGAGAAGAAAACATTTTCTGCTCCGAGTCGACTTTGAGTTAAACCTTCAGTTTCCTCTGGAGACACTGGTGCTGCACACCTGAGAGCTCGTCTAACCTTCCTCTCTGTTTACGTGCTGAAACCTCTGAGGATCCTTTCAGAAACACAAAGCCTCTGAGAGAAAAACTGTCGTCTGCAGGAAACAGCCGAGGCTCTGATGAAACATTTAAACGTTCAGGAAGAGCTCCACAGCTGAGCTTCATGTTTACATGAGTTAACAAGCAGAACGTTCAGAAACACACAGGAGACGCAACAGTCCTCTGATTTACACTGAGCTGAAAAAACACTACATTTACTACACACACATTTATATATAC